TCAAAGCTTTCTCGTTACTGTTTACACACGCCGCCTGTGCCTGTGTCCCTGCGTGCCGAGCATCACGCCGCCGGGCTCCGTCTCCCACCCGTCCCTGACACGACAGCGCCCAGCGAAGGAATCGAGCTTTTCTAATTACTTTATTAAGTGCTCGTGTTTCAGGAAAAAAAAAAAAAAAAAAGGGGAAAAAAAAAAAAAAGGAAAAAAAACCCCACAAAGGATTATAAATTCATCGACCAGTTGCTGCTCCAGCGAAGACGAGCCCCGTCCTCCTGCCCCAGCACGTGCTGCTGCTGCCAAACCCTCCAGCAAAGCCCGACCTGCCGGAGCTGAGCTCCTGCGTCAAAAAAAAATGGCTTTTCTTGCTCTTTTTTCTTTTTTTTTTAACTAGCACAGTTGCAGTTGCTCCCCTGCACCAGCCAGAGAAATACTTAATATAGTCAATTAGCCGTTAGCCTCGCTAATTAAGCCGTGAACACTAACTGCTCCATCGTTAATAATGTCACTAGCTGAGAACTAACGCGGAGACTGACAGCGACCCGACCGCTCGTGGAGGTGGTTTATCCCGGGGATGGGCATGTTCCATCCCGGTGATGGAGGTGTTCTGTCCCGGTGATGGAAACGTTTTAGGCACAAATCTAAAGTGAGTTTTTCCCCCATTTTTTTTACTGGCGGCCGCCCACCCTGCTGTCACTTGCCTTTTCTTTTTTTTTCCTCCCCCTAAAACACTGCGTAACCAAAATTCGGTGGTATTTAAAGCTCTGCCACGGCCTCTCGCAGGCGAGGGGGTGCCACCGGCGTATGCCTCCGTGCCCGCAGAGGGGCTGCACCCCTCCACGTGCCGTAGGCGGAGGAGCCCGGTGTTGGGTCGGCGTTTCGGCGACTGTAATCACCCCCCTACACCCCGCAGGCACCGTAAGTCGTTCACCCGCGCGCGTCTCGCCCCTGGAGCGCCAGTTGCCGGCACGGCGCGGTGTGCAAGATGTAACTCCCACGGGAATCACCGTGCGTCCAGCAAATCCCCAGGGCTCCACGTCCCTGTCCCCAGCAAAGGGACCCGCACAAGGAGAGCGGTGCTGGAGCCGGGAGCGTGGCCGTGCCCCAAGCTCCATCGCTGTTCCCAGGCTCTGCAGCCGGCGGTGCCGGGTGCTGGTTTACCTGGAGTGGCCGGGGCGGGCACCCCCGGGGGGGGTACCCTTTTT